CAGAGAGGATGGAATAGAGGGGGTTAGATGAAAGAAAGTGAAGAGATTAGCCAAACAACATGGAACATATATGCAAAGCCAATGTGTAAGAGAGAAATATCAATTGGTTGCCTCCTGTACATGCCCAACCAGTGATTGAACCCACATCCTATATGTGCCCTGACTGGGAATTCAACCTGCATCTTTTCAGGTATATAGGACAAGGTTCCAACCAACTGAGCCATCCAGCTGAGGCTTAGGTACTTATTTTTAAAGAATCAATTAAACTAAAATGCATATCACTTAATCCACACATAAAGCTTTAATTACTTTGGATATATTTATGAAATAATACTTGTGGAAACCTAGTAATACCTGATTAACTTTTAAGTATAATAGAAATATATTAGTGCAACTACTAAGTATTTATATGAGACATAAAAAATATATGTGATATCTTATCTCCATGTTAATTAGTGGTTGTCACAGTGCTTTTGAGATATATACAGTATTTTTAGAACATATTTGCTGCTGCTTTTGTAATATGAATTAAATAATTCAGCTTTTCATTCCCACCAGATCCACTGGAATGCATAATATTGAATTATTTAAGTTTTACCCCAATTATTTTTGTTACACATGAAACAATATTTGAATCGTTTTTACTGTATGAAAAATGTATCAAACTTCCACATTGCTACTGATTTTTTATCTTGTAATAGTTAACCTATCAGATTAAAAATTACTGTAAGTGTCATTTTGTAATATTAAACTTATTTTTCATACAACTCAAATATTTTTTAAGTGAAACCCATCCAGGCTTTGCATGTACAAAGCCCCTTCGTTCATTTTTTGGTTCCTCCAACATTTCCCCATAATGTTACATATTATTTCATTTGTAAGGTGAGCCACTGTTCTGAGAGGTCCTGTAATAATACAGAATCATCCATTATTTGCTTTTGAGATGCAGAAACTACTTACAGTGCTACCATTGTAATTATAATGTGAACAATACAACTGTCATTGGGTGAATGTGCTCCTTGGGCCTGGAGACATGTAGACGGGATTTGGAGGTTGTTCAGTGGAAAAGCATTAAATGTCAACTCATAACAAAGGAGTCCAAGTGAGAAGGGCAAGCTAGGAAGCAGAAGAAATGATGTTCTTTAAAAATAGTGAATTGATCTGTAGTTTATTTATTTTTTAAATCTATTTAGTGGTCTTATTTTTAGTGTCTAATGAAATGAGAGTGGACTCTGTTATAAAAATGAATGACATTTTTCACTATACAAAGTGATGTAATACACTGTACACATGTAAAACAGGATAAAATTGTGTTGTGATAATTTCAGATCAATGGTGAAGTTGGAACTTTATTCATTAAAATTAAAATATTTTAAAATGAGGAAAAATAATTACTTAAAGGTCCTACCTAAATTCTTAAAATGAATAAAATATATTTTATTTTAGCGTAAGTAAGCCAAAACAATGTATTAAATGGATCCAAATAAAAAATCGAGGAACATTAATACTTTTGACTTAAAATATCTGAATTTGTTTTATTTTATTTCATTTGCTTAGCTGTGTTGAACACTCATTACTCAATTCTTTTACTAGACTTCTGATCAAAGTAATCAATGTTATTATACCAATAAGATAATGTTTCTTTAGTCCTATGTCACTGATACAGACATAGTTTAAAGTATTTGAAGTTGAGTTTGTCATATAGCCTTGGGAGGAAATAAATATATACATATATAAGCCAAGTAGCATGAATTTTTAGCAGCCTGAAATATTTATGAGGGTCAAATTTTGGTTCCTTGTGTGTTGATATGATGGCAGCTTGTATGTACTGTTCTTCAAATTGTGCTTTACTTATGCTTCTTCTGTTGGTTGAGGAAAAGGATTATTTACCTTGTAGATTAAATTAAAATACTTACAAAAAAACAGCAAGGCACTAATTCTGTTTCATTGATATGTCTTCTATAGCCTAAAATATATTTTCAAACAGAAATTGGAAATGTCAACTGTATTTGACACTGGCCAATTAATGAAAGTGGCTTGTCCTATTGACTTTCCCAGTCAGCCCTGTTCACCATGGCTGCTGGGTAGCACAGTGACCTGTGCTGTTACGACAAATGAGTTTTGGAAATGGCCTTTATCCTCCCAAATAAAGTTAGTGTATCCAGATTTGGAAACTGACAGCAGTAATATTCCCCAACTAAGGCTGGAGCTTAGTCCTGTTATACTCATTAAAAAGCCTATTCATACAAATTAAATCCATTCCATATCCTGGCCTCTGATGACAGCTCCATTTTTTTTTTCTTGTCTGGTTTGAATTACCTCAACTCTGTACCCAGAAAGAATTTATCCCTTTCAAGAGACTTCTCCAAGCCTATAATAAATTCACATGGGTCGTCCCATCAATGTAGTGAATTTGCATTATTATTTCATTATGAGTAGGAAAGAAAGCGGATTAGATCTCTTCCAGCATTGGCAGAGCCTAATTCAACCTGAACACATGATTAAAGCTGGCATTTATGACTATAACTGTCAAAGAAAACTAATTGTAAACTGAGAGCTGGGGATAATTATGGCTTTTGCTATTAAACCATTTCTCTCCTATTTATCACAGAACCAACTACAGACGTTACTACTGTTTGCATTTAGTTCTCTGATTACTATGAACCTACGTATGTAAATGAAAGTTGATCTATATTCTCAAATTGAGGGCTTTGTGTAGAGTTAAGTTTAATCATGCTTGAGTATGCACGTTTTACTTTCCTTTTCTCTTCTTCCTCTTCTTTTTCATTTTTGGAAAAGGCAAAGTGACACTAACATCTCTGTGTCTAAGACACTGTGTCTTGCATTTTTAAAAATTACATACCCTGAATAGCTGCATGGTAATCAGTTTGACACTATATGCCATTTGAACTATCTTTCATAAGATATTTTTTAAAAATATGCCCTAAAATGTGTTGATATATATTAAAGCCTTTAGAAATCCATACATATATGTTCATATAATTTATATGTATATATTTTTACATAGGCATGAATAACTATACAATGGGGAATACAACATATAACTAGGCATATATAAATATATATTTATTATACTCACACATATAGTCATCATGCATGCATGCATATACATACATACATACATAAGTGAAAATAAATTATCAAAATATTACTATTAAACAATATTAGCCCTTCATTATATCACAAGTATTTTTATAATTTTATGGTAGCTGTATGGGGCTAATCACATAAGCCCTAAAGTATATCTACATAGGTTTCAAGTCCAGTTTTTCCCAGCTTTGCACATTTGTATAATTTCCCCATTTAAAAAAATTTATAAATATTGTTATGATTAGGATAACAAATGAAATAATTATTGTAGACTAACTTGCACAGAATAAATGCTCAATAAAAGCTTAAGTGGCAAAATTTTAGCTATTTGTATAAAACACAATTATTGTGACTGTAAATCACTGTGTTTGTATGATTTTGTGTGGCAATGTATTTTAAGGTAGAGATATAATAATAGTGGTAGGTATAATTCAACTACATATTTCAATTTTATGGAATAGAACCAATTCATAGAATTGTATTAAGCAAAGGCAATTTATTAAAAACTTAAGTAACAGAATTTAATTTTCATAACAGTAAAAATTATTTATAAATAATACATTATGTATCAAAGAAATAAATAACTTATTTTGTCTAGAATCCTGGTTTGCAGTGCAGGGAATAATTTCACTAAATCATATGAAATATTACTAATAATGAATTAAAGAAATTATATGTAGATGAGAATAGGCTTTTATAAATATCAAATAGTAGGAATTATTGTCATTATGAATATTAATATAGTTACAGTGGCATAAGAACATCTGCATTTATTCCATTGACACCTAAACTATATCCTACTTTTTTATTGGCATACTTTAGGTTGTTTTAAAATTGTTATGTATTTGTATATAAACCACTAAGAAAATTTCAGAGTGTATTTCTTTGCTTGAATTATATATTCAGGTTTAATTATTTGGAATCAAATTACATTTTTGAAAAGTGTGATACTATGGTTTTTAAAACTTATTGTGGGATTATTTTCCAAAAAATAGTATAAGTAATAAAACTTTCCTAACAGCATTACTAGGTATATTAATTAATAATGTGGAGTTTTTTCAATAGATGGAGTTATGCATATGTTGATATACTGGTATATGCAATAAGATATATTAATATATGCTATTTTGTTGTATTGACAACAAGCTTCAAAACTTCATATATCAGCCGGGACCGGTTTAGCTCAATGGATAGAGCATCGGCTTGGGGACTGAAGGGACCCGGGTTCGATTCCGGTCAAGGGCATGTACCTTGGTTGCGGGCATATCCCCAGTAGGGGGTGTGCAAGAGGCAACTGATCGATGACTCTCTCTCATCGATGTTTCTAACTCTCTATCTCTCTCCCTTCCTCTCTGTACAAAATCAATAAAATATATATTTAAAAAAAAAAAAAAAAAAAAAAAAAAAAAAAAAAAAAAAAAAATTTATAAATAAAATTTTCTGAAGGTGTTACCATCATAGATATTTTTACTGGTACACTTAAAAATGTCAAGTTTTGTGCCCCCCCCAAAAAAAGCATTTGTGCAAAGTTTTAATACATTTTTTTGAAGAAAAAGTGGTGCTGAATACTTCGGGAAGCTTATGGTAAACATGCTCTAGCTGAGGATACTTGTGAATGCTGGTTTAAACACTTTAAAAGTATTGATTTTGATGTGAAAGACAAAGAACGTGCAGGTCAACCAAAAACGTATGAAGACCAACAATTACAAGCATTATTGGATGAAGATGCTTGTAAAACTCAAAAACAACTTGCAGAAAGATTAAATGTTGCTCGGCAAACAATTTCTAGTTGTTTGCAAGCAATGGGAAAGATTTTAAAGGAAGGAAAATGGGTGTCACATCAACGAAAGACAAATGTAAAACCAAAAAGTCATCAGTAAAATGTTGCTTCAATGGCACGAAAGAAAGTCTTTTTTGCATCAAATTGTGACTGATGATGAGAAGTGTATCTATTTTGAGAATCCCAAATGCACAAAATCATGGGTTGATTCAGGTCAACCATCAACATCAACTGGTAGGCCAAATCGCTTCCAAAAGAGATAATGCTACGCATTTGATGGGATCAGGAAGGTGTGGTGTATTATGAGCTTTTAAAACGAGGTGAAACTGTTAATACTGATCACTACTGACAACAAATAATTGATTTGAACCACCCTTTGATGGTGAAACGACCAGAATGTGTCAAAAGACAAGCAAAGTAATTTTGCTTCATGATGACACACCATCACACACTTCAAAACCAGTTAAAGACACCTTAAAAGATCTTGCCTGGGAAGTATTAACCCACCCGCCTTATTCATGAGATCTTGCTCCTTCAGAATACCACTTGTTCTGATGAGTGGCACAGACACTTTCTGAGCAGCACTTCAAAACATACAAAGAAGTGAAAAATTGGGTCTCCGAATGGTTTGCCTCAAAACAAGAAAAGTTCTATTAGGGCAATATTCACAACTACCAGAAAGACGGGGGAATATGTAGCTTGCAATGGACATTACTTTGAATAAAGCACTTTTGATGTTACTCTTGAAATTTTTGTGTTTTCTTTGATTACAAAATCCGCATTATTAACCGATACACCTAGTATAGTCTCATTTGGTTTTATTTTTATTACTTTGTAATTTTGCAATAGTTTATAAAAATTATCACTTATTTTTTATTGTTTTTATTATTTAAATTTATTGCATAATTTTCTTGTGTATTATTTTCTATTAAAAAATTACAGATCTTGCCGAAACTGGTTTGGCTCAGCGTCTGAACCAGTCCCAGGTTCGATTCCAGTCAAGGGCATGTACCTTGGTTGCAGGCACATCCCCAGCAGGGGGTGTGCAGAGGCAGCTGATCAATGATTCTCTTCATCAATATTTCTAACTCTTTATCCTTCTCCCTTCCTCTCTGTGAAAAATCAATAAAATATATATTTTTTAAAAATTACAGATCTTATTTAAAGTGTATTCCTTAATGTTAGGTTAAAGACCAAAGATAACAGATCAACAGTAATAAAATCAAGTTTATCCTCTGTGTTTACATTAAATGACATTGAATCTTTTTTTTTTTTTTTTTTGCTTTCTGACACCTTGCACTTTGCTTATGAGTCCTGAAGGACTGCTAATAAATAAGTTATGTTTGCATTTTGGAAGTGTTAACTTCATATTAAAATGACAACCTGAGTCAATACTCCTGATGGAATCAATTTTTCTCAAGAAATAAAACATCACTGATAACATTTGATTTCTTTAACTGAAGTTTACAGAAAAACATATTAGTCTATGTAGAAATTATTATTAAGGTTAGCACTTATAAAGAAAGCTGTTCAAATTATATACACATATTTTCTAATTCAGATTATGACACATAGATAAAAATTATATACTCACTTAGCAAGCATAACTTCAAATGAAAGAAACAATTTTTTTTCACAATAAAATTGTCATAAATTCATATAATTCAATGATGATTTAGTAATGGAGTTTTGGTTAAAAATAATTCTCAGATGAACTTTGTTTAAAATTTCTATAAGAAATAAATTCCAGTGTCGATTATAATTCTTTCTTTGTAAAAAAATAATCTGTATAATCTCCTCTCATTAGTGTAAAGAATTAGATTTGCCAAAGTGCTTGTAATGTCAGCTAAAAGTTGTTTAAAGTGTTATTAAATATTTTTATACATATTAAATAATTTTAATAAAAATTTTGTTTGTCAAAAATACAACCTTCCTCATTTTTATTCATTGATCATCATTAATCATCTTTGCAGGTGAGTGAGTAGAGTAGTTTGAGATAAAAAGAAACCGTTTAAGTAAACCAGGACATAAAAACTATTAAAAATAGAACACATTTTGTAGATTTTTTGTGTTCTCAAGAATATATGAACATAATTTCTCAGAAAATACTATATATATATATTGATAGATTTAATTTAATTTTTAAAAAAATATGTTTTATTGATTTTTTACAGAGAGGAAGAGAGAGGGATAGAGAGTTAGAAACTTCGATGAGAGAGAATCATCGACAAGCTGCCTCCTGAACATCCCCTGCTGGGGATATGCCGCAACCAACGTACATGCCCTTGACCGGAATCGAACCTGGGACCTTTCAGTCCGCAAGCTGACGCTCTATCCACTGAGCCAAACTGGTTTTGGCTATATTGATAGATTTAATAGGGATAATGTATCATTGCTCAACTATAGTCCAATGCCTGTGTTAATATCAGGAAGCAAAAGAAAGTATATAACCAATATAAGAGTAAAAAAATAAAAGAACAAAACTAAAAGCCCCAAATATTAAATGGAATCCTGAGAATTTAGCAAGTCATAAATGGCAGTGAATGAAAAATAATTACTATACTACAATAAATGTGGACGCTTTAATTCTCATTGCATGGAGGTTATGGCTAGGAAGACTAAGTAAGGTTGAAAGCTGTTGTGAGAACTCCTACTGCTTTGGCTTGAATTAAGACTGGTGGCTATACACCAAAAACTTATTTCTCTTTTTTTCTTTTAATTTATAATGCAAATTTAAACAAAAATATTTCCCATGGCAAACCTTAGTAACACAATAATTTGATGGGATAGTAAGAACCACAAAAATGTTTCATTTTCCTCTTTTCCAACTTACATTTCTTAACAATAATATGTTTCAAAATAATATACTTAAAAACACACACAAAATATACCTTTAGTTTAAGTGCCAATTGCCATGAAAATCACTTGGTCTTTGTTGATGCGAAATTTGAATAATACAAAAAGCAAGAGACATTTTCTGAAGAGGATAAAACTGTGTATTGATCCTGGGGATGCCATGCATACCTGGGTAAATGGGTGCTCCGAAAGGGGGATTAAATAAGCAAATATAGTACAAATAGCAGTCAATTCACCCTCTGAGTTACATGATCAGCTAGGCCTTTATTCTCTAGGCAAGATTTTCTAGAAGGTGCTTCCTTAAAGTAAATATCAAAGACAAAAACATTAATTATTTCCAACTAAATACTTTCCAATGAAGTCTACCACCACATACTTAGAGATTCTAGTTAGCTTTATAACATCTTATTCTTAAAGATGAGATGGTAAGCTAGCATTATCATATATATAAGGATGGCAAGAACTAAATAAGTAAAATAAAGAAGTAATTTTAAATACTATCATTAGTTCAAGTACTATCATGTCATTCAGTAGTATTCTGGATCTACTGGTTTTGAGGCAAGAGCCAATTTTTAATATTTTCTTCCTACCCTGCATGCAGTGACCAGATTTTGGTACTTTGGGATAGCCATAGTGAAAGTATTTATAAGAATTGAAATTGACTAACTCTAAAAATACAATGCTATCTTAATTTTCCCAGAAACATACAAGAAGTCTTATATGTATAAATAAGAAAAATAATCTACAACGAGATTCTTCAAAATTAAAAATATGCTACCAGAATTGAAAAATGCAACAGATTATTTTGAAAAGTGTTTGTTCCCCCAAACAAGACGAAGAAAAAGTGAAATAAATTATAGGACAAAAAAGAAAAACAAACTGTTAGTTTCAATATTCAACATCCTAGCAGTAGAAAATCTGAAAAGAATCATCAGACAAAATGGAGAGGAGGAAATAATAAAATTGTTCAATAATATTTCCCAGAGCTAACAATCATGAGTTTCTTGATTGGAAGCATTTACTAAAAATGTGCAGAACCATGGATGAAAAGAGATGTACAACACAATACAATATCAATTTCAAATTATATTTGAAGATATGAGAAAATCCTATAAGCTTCCACAGTGGGAAAATTATTCTATACAAAGATTCAGGGAAAACAATGATTTTTGCTGTTTTTATTTCAGCATGAAAGTTCAAAGGCAAAGGAGTAATATCATCAAATTACTGAGCAAAATGATTTCCAATCTAAAATTTTATAACTAGTTAAATTCTTATGCAAAGATGAGAGAAAAGAAGCATTCAGACAAGCAATTAAAGACTACTGAGATCCTCAACCATAATAAGAAATTAAACATTAAAAAAAAGAAAATATGAAATATAAGTGATGGGATCCATAGAGGCAAAGAGAGACTCCATGATTATTATGAAGCAAGAACTCTACATAATTGCTGTGCTGTATAGGTAAAGGACAAAGTACACTTTGGAGAAGGTAAAAAAGAGACAAGAGAGATTCTTTGAGAAGATACAATTGATAGTACACCTGCTAAGTCTTAATACATTTCAAAAAGATTTGGACACTAAGTTGGATGTTTGAAGTTATATAAGTAGAAAACTATTCAAAGAAACAGCAAGACAAAACAAACTAAAATCCACTTGGGGGAAAATAAGAAGTTAATAATTATATTTTGCTCATGGCTCAGTGATGAATAGTATTCATTTAGTAAGAATTTTAAACACTGGATAATGTCCCAACCCAAAATGTTATGTAACTGCATTGTAGGATGGGAGGAAAGTGTGCTTACTTGTTGGGATGATTGAGGGAAAGAGAAGGGAATAATGAAGAGAAAGTCACATATTTCTTATTGAGAAGTTAATAGATGATGCCTAAAATTGGAATGTACCTACATAATATTATGTATATATTTGGTGATACATTTTAAATACTGGGAAACATTTGAAAGTAGGTGACTCTGGGGAAGGGAAAATTTATTGGTGATAAAGGTTTTTCAGAATAATATTTATGGAACTGTTTAACCCTTTAAATCAAGCATGTCAAACTCAAAGGCTAACATGGGCCAAATAAACAAGTTTACGTGGGCTGCAAAAACACAAAAGCTTCAATTTGATAGAGACAAAATACAAAGGGCTGGAATAAATGAGTTATTGTTAACATAAAATAATAAAACATTTTAATAAAACTTAATATTTTTTCTTGAATATTAACTTATCAGTCACTGGATAACTATACAAATTAAAAGGCATGATGCAAGTAAACCTATTTTTCTTGTTCTTCGAAAGCAAAATATTTCCTGTTGCACACACCAAACAAGTTAGTACAAGACTAATGATGTGGCAATCAGCTGCTAAAATATTTGCTGCTAGTGTTAGTGGAGAAAAATTGTGTTCCTGTGTGTAAGGCATTAAAAAAGAGGCAACTCCACCTCTTTCTGCTCTGGCCTTGGAGCCACTTCTTTCCACTCTGACCCTGCCTTCCCACGCTGCCCAAAGGCCCTGAGTGTCTGGGGGTGTTTTGCCCTGCCCCCAGCTGCTTGTGGCCTGCATATGCAAATTAATCCTCCATATTTTTGTTTAATTTGCATATTAAGTCCTGATTGGATGGTAGCCATCACAAAGGTGTGGTCAATTTGCATATTTCTCTTTTATTAGTGTAGATTATGTATAACAGGATATTGTAAAAATTAAGTTATGAAATTTTTATTAAAACATTTCTTACATATTATTATATTTGCTGTGCTGCAAACATATTTGTTGTGGGCCACATGTGGCCCACTGGCTATGGGCAGCAAGTTTGGTATGCTTGCTTTGAATTATGCCCATGAATAACTTTGATTTAATTTTAGATATACTTGAGTAGAAAAGGCTACACATGTATATGATGTAGTACAATATATACTTAAGTGTTCTTGCTCCCCCAAGACAGGTTAGCTAGTTCTAGATTACCAAATAACTAATTCCATTGTTTTAGACACAAGTCAGTTTCTTGATTTTAAAAAAAAAATAGAGATGTTACTAAGATACTAAGATGATACTGAACATTTTTACTAAATATTTTTTGTAAATTAAATAGAACTTCTGGGAACACACATGTTGTTGTAACCACAACTACAAATACTGTTACTACTTCATTATTACATAAGTTTCTCATTCCAATTATTCAGTTCCTGACCCCTAAAGAAAATTTTTAATTTTGTCTATCATTAAGAAATAGTCATTATACATATAATCTTTACATATAAAATATACATATTTGTACACATGTGTAGGTATATATAAATAAAAATTCATTTTTTACAAATATAAGTATAGTACAGATGACATATACCATTTAAAATATAATGTAGTAGAGGCCTGGTGCATGAAATTTGTGCACTCAGAGGGGAGGTCCCTCAGCCCAGACTGCAGCCTCTTCTAGTCTGGGAGCCCTCAGGGGATGTCTGACTGATGGGAGCGGGCCTAAGCCATCAGTCAGACATCTCTAGTGCTGCAGTGGAGGCAGGAGAGGCTCCCATCACTGCTGCTGTGCTAGCCAGCCATGATCCTGGCTTCTGGCTGAGTGGCACTCCCCCTGTGGGAGCACACTGATCACCAGGGGACAGCTTCTGCATTGAGCATCTGCCCCCTGGTGGTCAGTGCATGTCATAGTGACTGGTTGTTCTGCTGTTCAGTTGATTTGCATATTATCCTTTTATTATATAGGATAATGTGTTATTATGAGCAAGGCCTCTAATTAATTTTTTTAGGTAGTTACAGGGAAGGGCAGAATTTTCACTTGAATCTGAAGCTATTGCCCTTAGCTAAAATATCTGCATGCCACTGAGACACATCTTGGTGAGGCTCATTCTGAAGCCCCACTGTTCTATTATGTGTGTAAGTATTGGGAATTATCTTATCTCTTTAGTGAAAGGAACCTTTTGTTATGTTACAATGACTAACTTTATCTCATGAGTTGTGTTTTGGCTTTAAGCCTGTATCCAGTATTCATGCAGCAACTTCATTTCTTCTGTTCAATATTTACGGGTCGTAACTTTTATTTTATCTTCTCTAAATCTTTCTAGATTTTTATGTATTAAATAGGAATAGCCCATGGACACAGACAATAGTCTGGCAAAGGCCTGGAAGGGGCGGGTGCAGGGTGGAGAAGATTAATGGGGGGGAAAACAAACAAACAAACAAAAAATCTAAAATAAAGGGACATCTGTAATACTTTCAACAATAAAGGCAGATTTTAAATAAAGACAGATATCTTAGTTGAGAAGAGTTTTATGTGAAATAATATAAGTAATTGCTCTACACTGTACTTTATATTCTCAACTCCTCTCAAAGAGATATTAATTGACCTTATGTTCACTTAATGTTAATTGACCCTATGTTCATTGACTGCAGGACTGACTTCCACCATGCCGACCCAGCAATGACTGCTACAGGGGCTGTGATCAGACCCTACTTTTCTCTCCCAGCCTCTGTCTGGGCCTGATTGCAGCCCCCTCAGCAGTCAGTGCCAGGTCTCCTCGGCTGAGGTGCTCATAGCCTGGCAGTCAGTGAGGGGTGACCATGGAAACCCAGGGATGACTGCAGAATTGACTTCCCGTTGTTTGAGCCTCCTGTGGTTGTAGATGTGATGGACCCAGGGTTTTTATATATTAGGATAGTGTGTAAAGCAATAGAGGTTTAACCACTTTATTTTTTTTAATGCTGCAGTCTCTCATTATATAAATAGACTATGCTTTATCTTCTTACTGGTGGATATAAAGTAAGTTCTAGACTTACATTCTGAGAGAGTAATGCTATAATTTCTCAAAGGAGCAAATTTGTGGTACAAACTAAAAATTGACTCACCAGGTTAAATGATATGCAGTTAAAAAAATTTTAACAGATGCTAGAGAATTGTAAGGGTCTCAAATCACAAAACTCAGGACTCTGCCTTTGCCAGCTTTGGCTGACTGAAGTCTTAGTGAATTAAGTTGTTATTTAGAGAATGTGTATAGAGATGTAATACAGTTGTATTTGCATAAAATCATATGAACCAATTTTCACAAGACTGGTGAGGATTCTAGCATGAGGCTAGAATGAATGAATGGACATCAGTACAATTATCTGGACATAGAATCAAAGAAAATAAAGAACTCAAGTTTTTCTCTTTTACTTGAATTGTATGGTTAATTATTTCTCCTTCCCCTCCTCCTCCTCCTCCTCCTACTCCTCCTCTTCTTTCTTCTCCTCCTCCTTCTCCCCTTCCTCCTCCTCTTCCCCTTCCTCCTTTTCCACCTCTCTTCCTCCTCTTCCTCCTATAGATGCATCTTTAACACATATATCTTTGGAGTTAAAAATATTTTCTTCAAAGTAATACAATCTATTTCTATCCATTCCTCCCTACTCTTGCATTTTCTTATTTTTGGAGGGGTATTAGCTATTGTAGAAATCGGGAGCATCATGCAGCCCTCTGATACCTGTAAAGACTCTAAATAGATGTCACTATCTCCCAGTAAAATCATTAACCCGTTCCTTATATTGATGTAGTAAAAGCAGAATCAGGCATGAACTTCTGAGAGGAGAAGTAAAAACATTCAATTTATCAAGGCCTAAAATAGACCAAAGTCATGGAATAGAAAAAAAAGAGTAATTTAATGAATGAGTGTTTAAATGAGAAATGACTATGAGGTTTTATTGAGAGAGAAGTAGTTGTGTTCTCCATCCATTAAAACAAAAAACAAAAAACAGTAGGCTTACACTTTCCAGTGAGATTTTTGGAACTAATAGTTAAAAGTGAAATATGCTATTGTGTGTCCATTCTCAGACACAGAGAAATTAAGACAATGTAAAATATAACATTAACACTGAAGTTTAAGAGTTCAGGAAGACATCATTTGCTAAAAGTCTGTTGCTCAGACACAGGTCATATAATGTTTGTTTGACTTGAGTATGGTTTTTAAGATATGCCACCAATTAAAATGCAGGGGATTTAATATACAAATCCAAAATTTCTGGATTTTTTTTAACAATCTAAATAGCTGGAACATTGGATGCAAGCTGAGTAGTGCTGCAAACTCTCTAGCTTGGCACCCTCCTTTTCAATCTGTAATGACTCCCAGGCATGAGGTTGAGTCTTAGTTCACATATACCCTTGTGTTTCCTCTGGTATTTTCTTCTCCCAAAGTGCAATTTGAAAGCAAGGGTTTCATTTTTGAAGGAAGATAGAAAGATCACCTTATTGTGGAAATGAAGAATATTCTTACTTTTTAATATATGCAACATGTGTGCCCAGAAAAGTCAAGATAGCATTTTTATAAATCCAGCCAAATTTCCTCATTTATTTTTTCTTGACTGGATTCTGTTAGCTTTTTGATTTTGAGATATATCATTTAAGTGGACTTAAGCAGGAGTTTTGGTTCTGGTTAAGAACATAAATGGCAATACTAAGTTCTAAAGTATCCCATGCAAAGAACCCGAAGAAGCATGCTAATAAAACCCAGTGACTAAACATACATACGTTCCGGCAGTAACCTTCTTTGGTATTTCCCAAAGGAGCTGAAAACTTACATTCACACAAAAGCCTGCACCTGGATATTTATATCAGCTTTATTCATAACTGTCAAAACTTGGAAGCAATAAAAATGTCCTCTAGTAGATAAACAGATAAATAAACTGTGATACATCCAAACAATGAAATGTTTTTCAGCACTCAAAATAAATGAACTATCAACCAACAGAAAGATAGGAAGGAACCCTAAATACATATTACTATAGTGAAAGAAGATAATCTGAGAAGACTACATACTATATGATTTCAATAAGAGTACATTCTAAAAAAGGCAGTAAAAGATGAGTGGTTGCCATGGTTTGGGGAGGCAAGGGAGGCAAGGGAAGGTGAAATAGCTGGAGCTCAGATGATTTTTAAGGCATGTATCTGGGCTGGAGGCACATATATTCTGTCACTAATATTGGGTGACAAAAGATTATTTGACTTTGACACAGTGCAATATACACATAAATGTACACTTGAAACCTAAAAGATCCTATTAACCCATGTCACCCCAATAAATTTAATTAAAAATTAAACTTTTTTCAAAGATATTAAAAATAAATGCTACATTGAAATGTATAACATATTTATAAAAAGACAAATATTTTAAGTATGGTAATTATCCTCATATTACTTCATAAATTTCTCACAATTCCAATAAAAAATCTTTGAAGTGTTTTTTTCTTTTAACTTGGCAAGTGAATTCTCACCATTATTTTTTTTTTTTAAAAAAAGCAAATAACAGCCTAGAAGATTTTGTAAAAGAATAATTTAGTAAGGCTTAACCTAGCAAATATTAAGTTGTAATATAAAGCTCTAGCAACTATGATAATAGTATTGGAGACAAAAATAGTTTTGTAATGTTAATTAACTGGTTACAAAAACATAGGTTTCTTATACTAATTTTTAAATTTTAAGGATATCTGATATATTTCATAATGTTTTTTTAGAATTAAGGTTTAATGTTTAATAGTAATTAAATATGAAAGACCCAATTAACTAATTTAATAAACATTTTTAAAAGTAAATGTTAAGATTACATACATAAGATAGCTTAATTTTTAGAAAAAAATTTCTTTTGAATAATAACATATTAAAAAAAGTTATACTGTAAAATAATAATCCTGGAAAATCCACATGTATTTTTAAAGGAATCATTAACATGTATAGGAGAAAAGTTAGAGCTAATTATACATTAAACCACTTCTATAAAAGTAGATGAGAAGATAAATGGAATGTTATATAAATTTAACTTGCAGATGTGGTGTATCTTTTATCTTAAATTTTTAAAGTAAGAGAGCAAAACTTATGTAAGTTACATTCTTTAGAAAACATCTACTTTTTTTTTTTTTAAGACTGGTAAACTGGCAGCTTAAATAATAAAATGATTGAAGGACATGAAATCAGTGGATGACTGATTCAAGTTTTTAATAACAGCCAGTTACCTGTCCTTGAACTTAACTTAGCCAAGTCATTCTGACATATGTTCTTGTCCTTTGCCTTTTAGTAAGTATCAGTGGCACAATAGCTTGAAATATGAGAATATGTGACCTCGCTGTCAAGGTAACTTCTAAACATAATTAGTGTGTTTTGGCAAACCATGGTAAGCACTGATCATTTTATAACGCTATTCTGTTACAAGTTCATGATGATACCTTTGGATTCAAACCACCATGCTTGAGCAGTTGCTGCCTGAAAGGAATTTGCCTCTATTAAATTGATGCAGGAAAGTTCTGTTTTCTTGACATGATATTTAAAATGAAATACTACATTCAGAATTGACTAGTCATTGGAGATCTCTGCTTTAAAATGGCACATGACTTAAGAAGTACAAACTTCCAGTTATAAAATAAGGCATGGGGATATAAAGTACAGGATAGGGAAAAGAGTCAATAACATTGTAACAACTATGTACAGAGTCACATGGGTACTAGGCTTATAGTGTTGATCACTTTGTAAGGTATATACATGTGGACTCCTTATGGTGCACACCAGAAACAAATCAAATACTGTATGCCAGTTATAAGTTAAATAAATTAATAAAATAAAATAACTAAAAAGGTCTCAAAGTTGTATGAAACTTGAAAAAAAGTCACCTTGCTAACTTATAAACTTTTATCATTAATAATTTTGAAGATTAGAAAAGACACAAAAATTTTATGAGAGTTTAAATGATTACTGATACACAACCTATTTTACAAATTAACTCTAAAACTTCACAACCTACAATTATATTATAGTAATAAGTAGGATTTCTAGCAAAACAAACTAAAATTCAAAAAGTGGAAAATATTTTGCTTGGTCAGGTGGCTCAATTGGTTGGGGGTGTTATCCCATACACCCAAAGGTTGCGAGTTCAATTCCTGGTTGGAATAAGTATGAGAGACAATTGATGTTTCTCTCACATCAATGATATATTTTTCTCTTTCTCCTCCTCCCTCTTTTTCTCAAATCAATGAAAATGCATCCTCAGATAAGAATTTAAAAAAGGTAGCCCTAGCTGGTTTGGCTCTGTGGATAGAGTGTCAATCTGTGACTGAAGGGTCCTAGGTTCAATTCCACTCAAGGAATTATGCCTTGGTTGCAGGCTTGATCCCCAGGAGGGATTGTAAAGGAGGCAGCTGGTTAATGAGTCTTTCTCATCATTCATGTTTCTATCTCTGTCTCCCATCCTATTTGAAATCAACAAATTATATGTACACACACACACACACACACACACACACTCTAGAGGCCCGGTGCATGAAATCCATGCACTGCAGGTGGTGTCACTCCACTCAGTCTGAACCCTCTCCAATCTGGAACCTCTTGAGGGATGTCTGACTGTTCGTTTAGGCCCAATCCCATCAGGATCCCACCAGGATCGGGCCTACACCAGCAGTCGAACACCTCTCTCACAATCCAGGACTGCTGGCTCCTAATTGCTTGCCTGCCTGCCTGCCTGATTGCCCCTAACTGCTTCTACCTGCCAGCCTGATAGCCCCCTATCCACTCCACTGCTGGCCTGATTGACACCTAATTTCTCCCCTGCCATCCAGATCACTCCCAACTGCACTACCCTGCCAGCCCAATTGACCAAAACTTCCCTCCTCTGCTTGCCATCTTGTGACAATGTTGGGGCAGCCATCTTGTCACAACATGGGTGCAGCCATCTGATGGTGGCCATCTTTTTAAAAATGTATTTTATTGATTTTTGTACAGAGAGGAAGAGAGAGGGATAGTTAGAAATGTTGATGAGAGAGAAGCATTGATCAGCTGCCACCTGCACACCCCTCACTGGGGATGTGCCTGCAACCAAGGTACATACCCTTGACTGGAATCAAACCTGGGACAATTGAGTCCACAGGCAGATGCTCTATCCACTGAGCCAAACCAGTTAGGGCCGATGGTGGCCATCTTGTGATGACATGGGGGATGGCCATCTCGTGATGACATGGTGAGTGGCCATCTTGTGACATGAGGGCATGAGGGTCAATTTGCATATTACCTCTTTATTATATAGGATATATATATATTTTGAAGGTAGAAAATATTTTGACATATTTATTGTTCTTTATTTCATAAATTATAGTTAGGGTTAATGGTGCTCCAAATACATTCTAAGGTGGCCCCTACTAGTCCTGCCTCCTATTGTTTGCACTGGGTTCTAAGCAATAGAATGTGACAAAAGTGATGGAATGTTAATCTCCTGTTTAAGTCACCTTACTTGAAACTCCCTTCTCTAGTAAACTTATTTTTGAGACTCTTCTTGCTGGCTTGAAAAAGGAAGCCCTCATTTTGGAAAAGAACCCATAGCAGGGAACTGCAGATAGGCTACGGGAACTGAGGGTTGCTTCTAGCCACTAGCCAGCAAGAAGGAGGTCACCTTAGTCGTACAATTGCAAAGAAGTAAATCCTGCTAGCAATTTGAGTGAGCCTAGAAGTGGGTTCTTCCCCAGTCACGACTTCAGATGAGAACAATACTTAGCCAATATCTTGATTAGAGTCTTCTGTGGGCTTAGCAAAGGACCCAAGTACCTCACCCATTGAAATGATTTGTGTGGTTTAAGCTGCTAAGATTGTGATAATTTGTTTTACCATAATATGTAATTAATAGAGATAGTAACCAGAAAATTAGTTTTGCACTTTTGCATTTCAGATATATGGACAGCAAAGTACAGAACTATCAGGTCAGATAAGTAGGCTGAAAATGTATAATAACAGAGTATTCCAAGGTATTAAGTTTTTTCAACAAGTATAAGTTCAGATATCAGAAAAATGCACTGGAAGTAGAAGTTCTTGTGTTAACAGAGAAGCACTGCACTAGGTGATCAATGTTTGCTAGAGGGAGGTCACTGTTTTAGAATCTATGTTCTCTAGTCCTATCTAATAAAAGACTATTATGCAAATTAACCATCACTCTGTTACACCCACAAGCCATGCCCAGCAGCCAGTCAGGAGTGTATATGCAAATTAGCTCCAACCAAGATGGCTGTGGCCATGGAGCAAGAAGGAGACTTGGGTTTCCCTGCAATGGAGGAAGCCGAGCTTTCCGCAAACCCTGGCAGGCCCAGGCCTCCACTCAAGGCTACTAAATTTCAATTCTAGAAGATAAATATATCCCAGCAAAAATGGTGGCAGTCACAGAGCTGGAGTGAGCAAGAGGTTTGAGTTGCCCCAGGCAATGGAGGAAGCCAAGCTTCTGTAGCCCTGGCCTGCTTTGGCCTCTGCTCAAGGCTACAGAGTTTCAATTATAGAAGATAAATAAATCCTAACAAAAATGGCTGCAGCCAGGAAGCAAGGAGGAGGCCTGGCTCTGCTCAAGGCTACAAAGTTTCAATAATAGAAGATAAATAAATCCCAGATACCAGGGCCTCCACCTAGGTCACTGGGGGCATGGCTGGCTGGCAAACCATTACAGGCCCCTTGCCCAGGCCACCCCATGCCCCAAGGGAACCCCCACCCTGATCCGAAACACCCTTCAGGGGAAATCAGCAGGCCCTCTCCTATGCGCTAGGCCTCTATCCTATCTAATAAAAGAGTAATATGCAGACTGACCATCACTGTAACACACAAGATGACTGCCTCCTGTTGGACACAAGATAGGACACCACAAGATGGCCAGCAGGAGAGGCCAGTTGGGAGGGCCCAGGCCTGCAAGGGAGGACAGTTGGGGGTGATCAAGCCTGCAGGGGAGGGCAATTAGGAGTAACCAGGCTGGCAGAGGAAGGAAGTTGGAGGCAACCAGGCCTACAGGGGAGAACATTTGAGGGTTACCAGGCCTAAAGGTGAGGGCAGTTAGGGGCAATCATGCTGGCAGGGGAGCAGTTCAGCATCAATCAGGCTGGCAGGGGAGAGGTTAGGGAGTGATTAGGCTGGCAGGCAGAAGTGTTTCAGGTAATCTGGAAGGCAGGTAGGTAAGCAGTTGGGAGCCAGCAGTCCTGGATTGTGAGAGGGATGTCTGACTGCCTGTTTTGGCCTGATTCCAGTAGAATCGGGTCTAAATGGGCAGTCAAACATCCCTTGAGGAGTCCCAGATTGGAGAGGGTGCAGGCTGGGCTGAGGGATACCCCCAATGCACAAATTTTGTGCACCAGGCTTCTAGTGTTTAAGATAAAAGACATACTTTAAAAATAAAAATTAAATAACACTATTACATATTGTCTGATATTCAGAAAGTACTAATATGGACAGTGAGAAGAATGGTTGGGAGTTTGTGAGACTGTAATTAGGTAGCACATTATAGAATGACATAATGGCAAAGAACATTTCAGTAATTATTTTAAAGTAGTAAAAATAGACTACATTATATAGAACACATGTTCCTTATAGATTTTATTGTTAGTTGTGAATCATCCCTACTCATATCATGACTAGAAAGATCTAATGAAGTTATCATCAGTATTATTTCTATGCATAGAGTTATAGGAAATCTATGTTCATGTTTAATTCCTCTGTATTTTCTAAATTTATTATGGCCAACATACATTCTTTTTAAAATAAAGAATATTACAAACACATTTGAAATAAATATATCAAAATATTTTCTTTAAATATCAGTGATATTAGATATGGATTACATTTTTATATTAACCTAACATGGTTTTAATTATAGTCAGAATTACTTTTGATATTAAAAATTATCATATAACTAGTCCATAGCCCCATTATTGCTTTATAATACAAACTTCTGCATTAGAACATGGAAAAGATTATATTTGGCACTCAGGAATATCAATGCTTAATAGCAATACCATTTTTGTCATGCTTAGTCCTAAAATTGGGTTATAATTTAGTCAGGAGTACCTATCTTTTCAGCTGTGATGCTTTGCTTCTAGATCAACTGCTATTATGAACTAATGTGCTATCTTGATAAATTTTCTGTGGTCACCACTTGTCTTAATACCAAAACATAAAAATTAAAATTTATTTCTAGGCAAGTTGGTCATATCCTGCTTATATGACAGGATATTTTATATTTGGTTTTAATACAAGCATAAAATACAACAATAGAAAACACTTATGTATCTAAAGTGGTAAGGTTTGGATTTCTTTGTGGAATTTGGAATTTTCATAATTGGGAAAGCTGGGTGGCCTGACCCCCAGGGAAAGAGGGTTAAGGTGAGGGGAGTTGAAATCAAGATGAAAGCAGAAGATAAAGAACACATGCAGCCAGCCCACTGAGGAAGGGGAGGAGGCAGGTAAGGTTCATGTCTTCCTAGGAAAAAGAGTCCTATTGTGTGCTGGTTAGAGATGAGGATCTCACAGAACTGGGATAATTAGGTGGGATTGAAAAAGAGGGCTGTGATTTACAAGGAGAGGCTCAGGACAAATAAAAGAGGTTTGGCAACCTAGCCATGGTCATTAAAGCAGCTCAGCTTCATAAATCTGGAGTCTGCCGGCATCGTTATTCAGTTACCTGCTTGTTCATCAGTTTATGAGCAAGTAACTGGCATGTGTAATTATTTGCTAATAGTAGGAACATAAACAAGACACATCAATGCAAAACGTAATTGTTTCTATTTTAAAAATAACTTGTTCATGAGAAAGAATAGTTATTTTGATGGAAATGTAGCAGGGGAATTCAAAAGCTTAGCATTTTTCCATTTACAATAAGTTGTGAAGTATCTCATGGTTAATGTTTGCAGGTCAGGCACAGTTACAAATCTAATTATTTTTAATTGAACTGACTGTGCATAAAATTCCTTTGTGAGACAGGCTATAAGGTTTGTTAGTAAATATGTTACATATTACATATATTGGAAAAAACTAGCTAGGTAAAGGAAGTGAAAGAAAAGTAATACAAGAAACTCCCAACAGCAATTCAATAATACTATTAATTTAATGCAAAGTGGAAACTTGAAAGCAACTGACAAAAGTGACTTTTAAAAAGGGGGAACATGGATAAGGTTGAAAGAAAGTAATGTAGAGTCCAGCTGCTAACACAAAGAAGGAAACAGAAACATTCATATTTCTTGGCATCCTTCTACTCTAAGGTTTTCTCTGTTTCAGTTGTTGATGTTCCTAATCCATTAAGGTTTTACTTTTT